TTGCACATTTAATGTCACAGAGGTAAGTTCAAGTGTGGGAACAAGACAGAGGACCACTGAACCCATCCAGGAGGTCTGGGGGCCAGCACATCTGTGCCCAAAGAGGAGTTCCCGTCTGAATCTCACAGGCCAATGCGGGATCAGCCCTGGGGAGAGGAGACAGAAAGGGTATCTCTGGACTTCACGTGCTTGAGACGAGTCTTTTAGAGAGGAGGCTGACTCATTTCAGGACAAATCAGGACAGAAGTCTCTGGTAGGCAGATTCTGGGGTGGTCCAAAAATGGGATGACAGCCTTTCCAGTCTTGGAGGGAATCAAACCATGTGCCCAGAGAGACGGGACAGCTCTTAAGATTCCACCCCCATTTTAGATGCTTCCTCTCCCTTCTCTCATGAAAGCCAGCCCCATGCAGATGAAATCACCTTCCCATCTCTGCTAGGGGCGTAGGGCTCTCCCGCCTCTTGCAAGAGGACTGGGGATCTGTGTACAGGGGCAGGGCGGGGGCAGGGCTCACCTGCCAGTTCCCTGGTTGCCCTCATGGGAGTGCCAGTTTTAGGTGATTTCTAGAGTCCCCATCTGCCTGATGTCCACTCCCGCCAGCCTCCCAAGGATATTTTGAGAACCCAAGGGGGTCTCAAGAATAATTGAATTTAAGAATTTCTTGAGGGGTGGGCTGGCTTTGCAGACAGATGAGCCTGGGCTCTCCTCTGGCCTTACCCCAGTGGCTCCAGAGAGCCTAGGGAATTCACCCCTCTGGCCCGGGGAATTCACTCCTCTGCCCCAGGCCTTGGCATTCTCATGTGCTGCTAGGAATGGTGCTCTGTCTCTGTGGGTGGGTGTAGGGATGAAATTAGATTGAGGATATGAAAGTCCTCAGCCCAGGGCCCAGGCTAGGTGGGCAGGCTGCCCGCACCGGTCCTTCCTGTCTCCCAGGTAGCTCTACCACTTCTGTTGGTAAAATAGGTCATAGAGCTGGATGTGGTAGAGGAAAGGCTTAAAACCTGACCAAGGTCACCCTTGCTGATTAAAATGTTAAAAGTCAGGCAGAATGAGCACACATCTAAAATAACACCCCCTATGTCCCCAGCAGTGAGAATACCTGGGCAATGTTTGAATCGTCTTTCTGGCTCTTTTTTGACTCTTTTCTCAAAGCCAGTGTTTGTGGACTGGTCTGTCTCCTTCTGCCACAGAAGGGAGTTGCAGAGGCTGATATGTGGAACAGGAGGGACTGACCAGGATGGATGCCTGATGAGGCCTGTAGGTCTGCGAACCTCCCAAGATGCCTCACGCCACCTTCATTTCCTTACAGGCATTGAGGCCTGTGGCCGTGGAAACAGCTCCAGCCACCCCTCTCCCTGGCTCATCGGTCCCTTTGTCATGGCCCGAAACTCTTTTCTGCCACAACCCACTGGATGGTCTTGATGAATCCTCCCCTCCCCGCAGCCTCAGCTTCCCCATGTGGAAGAGGAAGGGCTGGGTGACTGCCAAGGCCCCTTCTAGTTCTGACTTCCAGTGATCTTACACCTTGCTTAGAAGTTGATGGCTGTTAGTTTGGACTTTTCCAATAAATAACATAGGGAGATACTTCCTTGTTTTGGGGGGAAAACAAACTCAAGGACTGTTTTCAAAAGCCCCAGTTGATGTTCAGATGTGTTTCACCTAATGACTTGCAACTCCTTTTGAACAAAGCAAGTCCTTAACAGGTTAAGAAAAAAAATTCTGCTTTTAAGTTGACCTGTGTAATTTTTCCTTCCATTAAGACCATTTTCCCCTGATTGTTTTTTCTCTATAAGTAGACTAATCAAATGGCAATAAAGATTTTAAATAGTGACTCCCTTGGAAGAAAGAGCCCTGGTAAAGATGGTGTAGGGCCAGGTGTCCAATCTTTTTACTTCCATGGGCCACATTGGAAGAAGAATTGTCTTGGGTGGCATGTAAATTACACTAACACTAACAATAGCAGGTGAGCTAAAAATATTTGCAAAACAAAATTTCATAATGTGTTTTATGAAAGTTCACAGATTTGTGTTGGGCCACATTCAAAGCCGCCCTGAGCCACATGGGGCCTGCAGGCGGAGGGTCGGACAAGCGTGGTGCAGGGGGAACGGCGCTACTTGTCTGAAAGTTTGGCCTGGGCCACCTTGAGTGGAATTTACCCTGATCACGTCCCCGTCTCTTGGTGGGAGCCCCGGACCATAACCATGGGCTAAGCCTTCCCTTATACCGGCCTGCCCAGGCTCTGCAGGAAGGCCACATCACAGCACCACAAAGTCCTGTCCTGGTCCAGAGTGTAAATCTCCCCTGTCTGAGTTAACCACATGTTTGGGGAGTGGGTCAGGATAGCCCACCCTGAGCGTGGAATGCCGCAGGATGCGTTTCCCAGGGGAGATCAGTTCCTAAAGCCCATTTACTTCTTATTTCTCCTTCCGAACTCAACAACTCAGTGTCATAGTTCTTGCAAAATGCTGCCTTTGAGTTCCATACTACATATCTTACATCTGTTTTCTTTTCTTTTTCTTCTCTTTTCCTCGTTTTCTTTTGGTATTATTTTATAGTTTTTGTTCCTTTTTCTGTTTTTCTCACTAGCATTCATTCTGTGGCCTTGATGACTTCAGTGAGCCAAGAACTCGGGTTGGTATCCTTTCCTTTTCGCAGATGAAAATGATGATTTTCTAAAATGGGAAGAGTCCTCCCAGTCCCTGACTGTCATGTTCCTTGAGAGATGAGGCACTGTGGAAGGTGGCCTTGTGGCAGATGCCTCAGCTCATAGGTCAGGGTCACCAGGGGAGACCCACCCCGAGGAGGGGGATCAGGCATGCTCACTGTGAATAAGAAACTCCTCTGTGGAGTTTCATCCACAAAGGGGGACTCTGTTTTATTCTAAAGGTTCTTTCCAGTCTGGCTTCAGTCCCTGGTGCTCTCTGCTGCTGTGTGGACCAGTAGGTCCTCTGTAGGATCCGGTGCTCTCTGCTGCTGTGTGGACCAGTGGGTCCTCTGTAAGATCCAGGGCCCTTGGCTTCCACAGCTAAGGGCTGCAGGGGCAGAAGGTTGCTGGACAAGTGGCTCATGAGCCCAGACTGTCACTTGCATGCAAAGTGCCCAGGGAGCCTGTGTAAGAACCCACCCAGCTCCCTGCGCCTCTCACCCCTGTCCTGTCCTGGGTTTTAACACCTGTGCTGAACTCAGGGACCTCCGGAACAAGGCCATCTCAGCATCTGGTCCTCCCCTGACCACTGAGCCCTGTATGTCCCCAGGACTGAGCTCCCACCATAGACACCTGGACCCTTCCACATTCTCCCTGAGAGTGCCCATCTCAGGGCCAGGGGCGCCAGGACCTTTGGACTCCAGAGTTCTGTCCCTGAATCCAGCCCAGGCCAAGGGCCCTCTGGGTTCTGGGGATACCTGCAGCACCCCCTAGCTACCTGGACCCCTTGGGCTCGGCTCTGAGGCCAGGGCCCTGCCTGATGTCCTTATGGGCATCCCTGAGGCTGACCCCAGTCCACAGGGCCTTTGGTCTGGTACCTTCTGTACCCAAGTGTCTGGGACAGTGCTGGGCACATGGTCAATATTCATTCAGTGTTTATGGACTGAGTAAAGAAGGATCTCAGGTCTTAGAGGACAACTGACAGTCAGTCAGATCCCATCTGATCGGAGGTGGGTGTTGGGGATGGGGCATCTGATCCTGCTGCCGCTTCTCCTGGGTCATGGGGGCAGGTCCCTCGGGGCTCAGCTGGGGCGTTCAGGACAGCAGTGAGGGCAGGGGGCAGATAAAGCCAAGGGATCCTCCGGCCATTTTAACCCTCGATTCTTGTGTCGTTTCACATTATGTTTTACTCTTACAGGATAGAAAAAGAGTTTATGGAATAAACTGAGTCCCAACGGCAACCCCACCCCCACTCAAACCAAATTCAACAGCGAAACAAGCTATTCAAAGTCCAGAGACTGCAAACAGAATTTATGTATATTTGACAACAGCTTTAAGGGGAAGCCTTTGGACATATGGCTGGGTCCTGGCCAGCCCAAGCCGTAAGAACTCTGCAGGGATTTTGTCACATTCACGTCCCAGCTCTGGCATCTTCAAGAGCCCAAGGGGGCAGAGACCTAAATGCCAGGAAATTAAGTGCAATTACTAGAAACCAAGGGATCGGCAGCCACCACACTGTCTGGGGACTGGCCCGAGTCCTTGTCCCCACGCCAGATGCCTCCCCAGGCCGCGGTGTGCGTGTCCAGCTGGACCTGGGTGGGTGTCGTCTCTGCCCTGTGTACATAAATCTCCACGAACCGTGCTGTGTTCGTCCGGAGTTTGTCTGCTGGAGCGACGTGCAAGTGTCCTTGTAATGTGAACCTCAATTCAAGTCCTGGTCAGCAACACCTTGGAATCTGTGCACGGCTAGATTTAGCAGCTGGCGGCCAGAGAGAGAGAGAGAACAGGACTCTGATGAGGGGCTGGAGCCTTGCCCATCATGAAGAAGCGGATCCCAGGGACCTCAGATTTCCTAGGGGAGGCCAAAGGCTCTGTCACTGTTCTGGGTGTGACATGGCAAAAGTCCTAGAGCATGACTGTTCCTGGGACCAAGTGGATTGAGGACTGATAGTGCAGACATGGCCATCAACCAGGCACACTTGGGCCTGCGTTGCATCTTGGTGGTAATTTGCAAGGGGCTGCCTAGGAAGAGACGCTGGAGCACCTGCAGGGACCAGGTTATTTCCATAGTGGTGTTGAGACCGGGTCCTGCTCTCACCACTGTGGGGAGGAAGTGAGCTCTTCCTGCCTTGGGAGGCCATCCGTGGATAGAGGCAGGAAAGCTGTCAGGGTGTTGGAGGCCTCCCTGCACAGTGGATGGAGGAGGGCAGCCACAGAGAGCCAGACGCCAGCTGGGGATGGTCAGCCCAGGAGGAAATTCCCAAAGTTCCTTTCCGATGATGTTCCTGTTGTTATTTGAGGCTGGGTGGGGTGGGGGCATCTCCAGAAGAAGCCACCTGCTCACAGGATGCCTTTCCCAAACTTCTGCACAAGAAGACATTTGGAATTAGAATAGACAGAGTGAAGTAGAGGACTGAATGTGATGAGGAGGCTGGCTGTGTCTGCGTGGGAAGAGCCGGATAAGGCCAGGCTGGGCCGTCCTCAGCTGGCTGTAGGTGGACTGGCTCAGGCCCTGCTCGTTGGGTGGAAGAAGCGGTTCTGTGATCTCCAGTGAGATGGACCTTTGGACAAAAGGGAAATGACTGAATTTTAGGCAGTTGAGGGAACTCATGGGGTGAGGGAGACAGAGGAGCTGGAAGTTCTCAGAAGGCCAGATCCACAGATGGAGGACACAGTGCCCCGGTCAGAATGGGCCCTGCCAGCTGGGGAGAGCTGTTCACACCACATCCTGGGATCCCAACCCTCCCCACACCACATCCCAGGATCCGGCCAGCGGGGAGGGCTGCTCACACCACCTCCCACGATCTGGGCTCTAAGCGAACATGCACCAGGACGGACCAGCATCGTCCATTCTCTTTTGAAATCAAAACCCCAAAGCACCTGCTAGCTCAGCCTCCATGACTTACCAACACGTGGTGATGAAATATGAACAAACTGATGTCGTTAGTTGAAGGCACAGGCATCCTAGCAGCCCAGGCGGCAATGGGAGTGTGGGATCACACAGTGAGTGACAACAAAGGCACGCCTTCCCTTTCCGGCTGGAAAGCACTGGAAGCATTGCTGTGCTAACTTCCGCGGGCAGAAGTCTGGGGGTGCCTAGGGGTCTCTGGAATGTCGGTCCAGCACCCCTGCAGCCACTGCAGGAGTGCGGTCCTCACGCCTGCCTGTCCTCGTCCTTCAGCGGGTTAAGGGCAATGTCTGCGTCTGCTGGGCTCCCCCATCAGATCATGAGACAGAAATGGCCTTGGCTTTGAAGTCAGACCCATTTGGCCCTGCCAGCCTGGCCTCTTCCTGCTACAGACACTGGCACTATCCTTGTCGCTCTGAGGAATGGTAGCGATAATTCCCCTGCGAGGCCTTGGGAGGGGTCTGAGCTGGACGGTTAGCCCCGCAGGCTCCCGCAGGCCACCGTGGCTCCTGGTGGGAGACACAGCCTCTGCTGTTCTCGCTTTGGGAGTTGTCCTCAGAGGAATCCATACAGCCGGCCAGGGGCCAGGACCTGTTCTCTTTGGCGCCCTGGGAGGCGGCGCAGGAGGAGGCATGAGGCTCACACGGGCAGGTACGGGGGTTTCCCTGCATAGACATCAGAGTCCCTGTTAGGAACCAGCGTCTCTTGTCACAGTCCCAGCCGTAGCTTCTGGCTCCCTTCTAGGCACAGTCCTGGTTGCAAGGACTTCAGTATGCAGGGAGCCTGAGAGCTGTGCCGTGCCCCGGTGCACTCACCCCTCACCCACAGCCCTGTGCCCCGGTCAGGTACCTCTGCCAGGGCTTTGGATGCTCTTGCCTGGTAACACATATGTGGTTTCCAGGGCAACAGAGTTACAAAGTCTGGGGAAGCCAAGGTGACTTCCTCATTTTAGCGCAGGTCAGCTGGGAGGTTCATTGGAGAGCCAGCCCTGAAGGTTCCTGGCACAGAGATGCCCATGGTGCAAACACAGGTTTCTGCTTCTCGCCCCCACACCTCAGTCCTCTGTAGGCGAAAGTGACCAGGGAGGAGCTGGGGCATGGGATCGGACTGCATTCTGGCACTTCCACCCTGGTAGCCTCCTGGGGGCTGAGCAGCCGAGGTCAGGACTGGGGCCCGGAGACCAGCTGTGCAGGGACAAGCCAGGCTGATTTGTCCAGGACTGAGGGAGGTTCCTGGAACATAGACCTTCCAGTTTGAAAATGGAGGAGACTCTGGGCAAACGGGGAGGTCGCTCTCCTGTGGCTGCAAGCCTTTTCTCACCAAATCCCGCGTCCCTTCCGGGCCTCCGGCTGACCGTGCAGTGCTCATGCTGAGCACCTTAGGTGAAACAGGCTGCATGCTTCATGCGGATGTCTTGAGAGTCAGCTCAAGGGTGTGCAATCCTACCCAGCCTGCCCCCAGTGCGGTGCTGGGCCCTCGGGGGTGCAGGGAAATACAAACGTGGGCGGATGGGCCCCTCCCCTGGTCCGGGGCAAGGCTCGCCCTGGCTGGTTGCATGCCTCGCTTCAGCTCCGGCTTCCCTGTCCTTCTCAAGTGAATTCGACATCTGCCCCCATCTGCTGCTCCTCTATCCGCCGGGAGCATTCAGGATTGTGGCCCCTGCTTCTCCCCGGCCTGCCATAACCCTCTGTAACCAGTAGCAATCCTGCCTGAGACCCCCAGGACAAACAATGGCGAGTCTGATGTTTCGTTGTTTTCTCGCATTTAAGCAGAGTTTGCCAGGGGTCTCCCAAATTGGATGGGAAATCCCAAAAGTGCTATTGTGGAGTCCTCTTCCCTCCCCCACAACCCAGGTTGTCTGGACCCTTGGGGCCTTCTATAGGCCCCTTCCCTATGCATCAGATTCAAGCTCCGTAGTAGGGTGGAACCCAAATCTTCACACGACCAGACCTCCCTCCCTCCTTCCCAGCCTTCCCCCACCTCTCAGGGGCTGCTGTTCCAGCAGAAACGGGGCCTCTTGTTGTCTTCCATGGCCTGTGTCCTCCCTGTTACCACCCTCAGCCTCAGGGAACCTCCCCAAGGACCCCGAGGGGGCAGAACCCCATCCTTACATCTGCACCACATCGATCTGTCCCCTTCCCCTGCCCAGGTCCTGCCACCTCTGAGAGGCCGGCAGGCTCAGATCTCTACCCCAGGCTACCACGGAGGTTGATAACCCATGGCAGGCCACGTTTTTCTCCGTTCAACCTTCTTCTTCCCCCGAGAACCCTCATCACTTATCTAAAAAGCCTGAAAACACTTCCTGGGAGAGGCCCTGCCTGCTTCCCTGTCCCTAGGCAAGAAGGAAGGACATGTCCTCCCTCAGGGCTGCTCACAGGGAAGGGCTGGAACACCTCCTCCTCCTTGGTAGGTCTGGGGTAAGTTTTCAGTTTCTCATTGCTTCCTTCAGCTGTCACTCAGTCCTCCTGCTCTGCACTGGCTCCTGTTGGCTGATGTTCCGGGGGGCTCACGGTGTGGTGCAGGAGCAGGACGGGCCACCACCCCCATCCCCCCAGTGCGCAGAGCTCACTGAGTCATCGCCACTGCTGGGGAGTGAGACTGCTGTAAGTTTCATTTTGCTAGGGGCCGAGTCACTTGCCTAGGATCGTGTGGCAAGTAGAAAGCTGGACACAGCTGGACAGTGCTACGTCTGCCCCCCACCCAGCAGACAGCATGCTGCATTTAGTGTGTGCCAGGTGCTCTGCTGAGGGCTTTGCAGGGATTAACTCATTTATTCCTCAATAGCTCTTCACTTAGGCATGATTTTTACCCTCCCTTTTGTTTGAGAAGTTAAGTAATTTGTCCAAAATCACACCTGAGAAGGGATGGAGACAAGCCTGGAATCCAGGCAGCCTGGTCCCAGCGCCTGGGATTTGAGCGGATCCACCACACTCCCGCCCCTGCCTCTGACCATCCCAGGTCTACGGGAAATCTTGTGGCCACCCAGACATTAGCCACTGTTGGGAAAATATGATTAAAGACAAAAGCTTCTCCCAGGGCAGAAAACCTCGTCACAAAAAAAGAAAGAAAACCAAGACATGACATGCATCACAGGCAACCCACTGAGAGATTGCAAAGACAGAAAGAAGTCTTACCCTTTTATATGGCTAGGCAGGCACAACCCACACGCACAGCCGTCACACTCATCCCCACTGAAAAGGACTCCATGGCATCATTGTTTCACATGGTTCATCCTAAACTCACCTGGTAACTAGGACGACCCTCTGTGTTCACTAATTTGTTATACAAAGGGGGGAAAAAAAAAAAACCTTCCCCTGCACCTGGGTTCCACCCTTCTGTTACTTCCTAAGACAGGTTTTACATTTTGGAGCCGGGCACCTGCCCAATTAGGCGTCTTCCTTCCAGTGAACACTAGGGGCGCTGTTGTCCCTGGAATGTACATCCCGAAGAGATGGTTCCAGGTCCTTCGGGAAAACATTCCTGGGCCATAAAGCTGGCAAAAGGCTTATTTCACTTTAAAAAGGATTTACACATATTTCAAAAAGGCAAAGAAAGAACTTACACATTTTCTAAAGTAAATGCTCTAAGGAAAGGGAGGGGGCGTCTCTTATTTTTAACAGGGAGATGGAAGCCTCTTATTTTCTATTTGTCTTGGTCCTGACCCTCTGCACTAGCCTGGCCTGTGTTGCTGCCTCCTCCCACAGGTCCAGCTGCCTCCATCTCCCTCCTGCAAAATCCAGAGTGCTCCATCCTCAGAATGGCATTTGACCAGGCACCTCCCTACTCCCGGGGCCCACAGAAACACAAGAGTCCTTGTGTGCCTGCGACAAAATGGCACCAAGCCTCCTCTGTCCTCACCCCTCACGTCCTCCTTCTGTGTACCCACTGGGTCAGCCCAGCCTGGTGCTCTCGTTCCCCTCACCTGTCCTGCTTCCCTGTGTGGGGCTGTGGCTTGAGGATGCTCTCCGCCTGGGGGAGTCTCCTCCCCACCTCTCCCTGCTCCAGTTTCCCATTCCTCCTATGATCTCTTCAGCCTTGAGCTCCCTCTCCCTCCTCAGGGTGCTCAGAGGTCGAATTTGCTCCTGTTTTGGGGTCTTGTTGCTCACCTATTATTGTATCTCTTGTGTCAGAACACACACTCTCCAGTTTTGGTGTCAGATCCATACTCGAATCCTGACTCTGCTATTTCCCATCCCATCTGTGGGGCCCAGATAAGCTCCTTCACCTTCCAGAGCCTCCATCTGACCATTTGTAGAATGGTCATGTTAACACCCACCTCATAGGGTCACGGGGAAAACTGGTCTAGGTAAGGCACGAGAGGCTCTCCACAACCCAGGTGCACACAGCACCCAGGGCAGTATGAATTTCCCATCCTGTTCCTCTAGCAAACTCTAGGTCCTTGAAAAATATATGCTATGCTCAAGGAGAAGGTGTGGAACCTTATTCATCATGTGGCTAAAACTTGAGCTTCATTAACTGCTGGGAGTCTGTACCGTCTGATGGTCTGACCTGGAGGTCTTATTTTTCCTCTCTGTGCCTGTCACTAGGCATTTCATCTCAAGTGATTTTTCTGCAACGTTTTCTCGCTTTGTGTGAGTTCTGGCATGCTGACTTGTAAAATGAGAGACTTTCATGCATATTGTATGATGCTTGTGCAGATGAAACCCAAGTCACCCACTCATGAATAATCCAACTGTTCTTACCCTTCTCAAAGGATATTTTCCTGAACAATCCGAAGTCACAACCACCACCTTGAAATCTCCAGGAAGCCAATGTTGCAAACTCACTTAATTTTATTATTAAGACTTGCCCCATGAAATGTTTGTGAGATGGAGCCAGCAGCTAAGAGACGGACTGAGAAAAGTTTCAGCTACGTCATCAGAGCCCCCAGCAGCGAGGGGTTCGACGTAATGAACGTTGATGTGAAGATTGACACATCCTGGGTATTCCCGGACATGGAACATAGTGCTGAGGAGCGGGAATGTCTTCCGGAAGAAGCATCTGGTCGCCCAGATGGGGATACGGGGGCGATCAGGAGGCAGCTAGAGTCCTCCGAGCAGAAGCTGTTAGCAGCGGTGAACAAGTATGTGACGTCGGAGTCCGGGCTGAGAAGCAGGTAGCAGCGCCATTTTGATCTCTCTGTGTGTATTTCACAAACCCCGGGGCTATCAGAGTGTGTCACCGTGGTGTGTTGAATCACACTACACAGCTGGGGAAACCAGCTCACCAAAGGCACGTAACCTGCCCGCACAGTCACTTGCCCTCTGCCCTGCCCACCCTCCTTCCTCTGCTCTGTACCTGCAGGTGAGGCTGCCTAGGCTTCTCTGCTCAATGGCTTCCATTTGGGTGCAGCCAACAGGAGGCCCTGAAACAGAGGGAGGCAGGGAGAAGCCAGGGTCTTTTCTCTCTCTTCTGCTCTGGGTGACTGTTCTGTGAAAGGGCTGTGTATACAAAGTGACCCAGAGCACAGAAAGGAACACAGAAATCAAAGGAAGAGGCAGACAAATCTAGTTTGTCGGTTTGGGTGATTTTTTTAAGGGGAACTTGCAGATGGAAGCATGGTCATAGGCAGTTCCCACGCAGGTAACCTTCCTCCCCCAACCCAGGGCTTATATCCTGGGGAAAAGCATATGTGCTCTGGAAGGCATGCATAGGTGGCCGTGGGTGTCACAGCCTATGGTTTCTGCAATGACAGGGGTTGTTTTGGAGGAAACTCACAACGAATAGGTGTTTGTACATAATGAGATACATTGACTCCACATCTTGGAGGCATTTGTGGACTCAGGGTTAGTCAGGAGTCACGTGCTGGACTCACATTTAAAATAAAGTCAGTCTTGTCCCCACAGTGACATCTCCCACTGTGGCTATAACTTATAAGTACTCTCGGCTTCCTCTGTGGTCCCAGGTCCCACTGGGTGTCCTGGCTGCATCATCTCTTCCCTGTGTGGCTGTCCAGCCCCAGGGGCAGAAGTGGCTTCTGGCAGTTGCTAAATCAGGCTGCCTGTTATCTCTGTCTGGCCTTTGGACTCTGCTATCATCTTCAGAATAGGCTCTCTGCATTCGTTTCTCTCTGTAGAACTTTCTGGTGTGGGCTCTGTTTGCCTGATGGAGCTGGCATGATCCCAAGGTGGGGCATTTGAATCCAGGTCTTTCTCTAAAGCCCAACCTCTTTCCTGATGGCATCTTGTTGCCCAGGCTGGTAGAACAAGGTGGGGCCTTGCATATAGATCAGGAAAGCCAGCAAGAGAAAGCTTGCATATACGTCAGGAAACCCATGCAGTGATGGCTGGGATGGATTCTGACAGGTAACTCATATCCCAGCAGCAAGTGCCTTGGGCTTTTGTGGGACTTGCTCATTTTCTTCACTTGCCTTTGCTTCAGTGAAGGTAGGCCATTGAATGTGCATGAACATGAGGTTTAGTTTTCTTCCTTTTGGTAAAATTTTATGCATGAAGAAATTAACAAATCAGAAAAATTCTTCTGTTACTCTATGTGATTGCCCATTCTTTCATTCATTCTGCAATGCACTTAACCTTCAAGAGTCACATACTAAGTTACGTTAGTTTGCCTGGGTTGCCATGACGACGTACAGTTAAGTCCTCACTGAATGTTGTCCATAGGTTCTTGGAAACTGTGACTAAGTGAAGCAACATACAACGAAACCAATTTGTTTTTTGTTTTGCTGTGTTTTGAGATGGAGTCTTACTCTGTCACTCAGGCTGGAGTGCAGTGGCACAATCTCAGCTCACTGCAACCTCTGCCTTCTGGGTTTAAGCGATTCTCCTGCCTCAGCCTCCCAGGTAGCTGGGACTACAGGTGCTCATCACCATGCCCAGCTAATTTTTGTATTTTTAGTAGAGACACGGTTTCACCATATTGGCCAGACTGGTCTCGAACTCCTGACCTCAAGTGATCTGCCCACCTCAGCCTCCCAAAGTGTTGGGATTACAGCCATGAGCCACCGTGGCTGGCCACAAAACTAATCTGATCACAGGCTAATTGACACAAACAAGACTTAAGTTCCTCTCCTTGTTCAGGTCACCAAAACATCACCAAACTTTGAAATAAAGACCCCAAACACTTCTAATGTTAAACACTGAAATAAATGTGAAAGACTCAAACAAATTTAAATTTAAGACAGACTGAAAAAAAAAAAAAAAAAACCCACAAGTAAGATGATTGTTTGCCCAATTGATCCAGGTCAGCGTCCCAGGTGGTGGCTAGGGCCTCTCCCGGCAGCTCAGGGTGCAAAGCCTGGACAGGACATTCACACACACACGCACACTCACACAGGCTGGGACTATGTCGACATGCCAGTTCACCTAACGTGCTCCGCTGTGGGATGTGGGTGGAAACCAGAGTACCCTGAGAAAGCCCACGCAGACACGGGGAGAAGGGGCGAACTCCACAGACACTGTGGCCCTGGCCGGGAATCTTTTCTTTTTTTCCTCATTAATGTCATAATGAAATGATATTATTTGCAAACTTGGGTGACTTAACAAAAATTTATTTTCTCACTTTCTGGAGCCCAGAAGCCCAAGATGGAGGGTCAGCAGGGTCAGCTTCTCCAGAGGCCTCTCTCCTTGGCTTGTGGAGTCCATCTCCGCCCTGTGTCCTCGCTTGGTGGCCCCTCTGTGTGTGCCTGCGTCTTCATCTCTTACGAGGACCCCAGTCAGATTGGATCAGGGCCCACGCTCAGGACTTTCTTTCAACTTAATTGACTCTTTAAAAGAGCTTATCTCCAAATATAATCACATTCTAAGGAACCTGGGGGTGAGGCCTTCAACACATGAACTTTGGGGGGACACATTGAACCCATAACAGAAATCCTGGGTGCTGAGAGCTGGGGAAGGCAGGGCCCCCACCTGAAAGACTAGCAGCATAGCCCATACAGGATGGTACATTCAACTGTTCTGGAAAGGTTGGTGGTAGAAACAGAAGATCAGTGGACCCCAGGAAGACAGGCAGTGAAGCCTGGCCAAAGGAGACCCCTCCATGGGAGGGGGAGACAGAGAGCCCCGGAGGGACACCATGAGCGGTGGGGAGGAGGGGCCTCTGTGGCCGGGCCTATGGGGGAATGTGGGCTCAATCCTCTGTTCTCTTTAAAGATGGGGTATACCGCCTTGCAGGCGAGGGGCGGGGGAGGAGAAAAGGGAGCTAGCACAGGGATGGGCCCTCCCATACCAGCCCCATCTTGACCCTCTTGGATCCTGTGATGCAGAGAGTGACATCATTGCCCTGGACAGATGAGGAAACTAAGGCTGAGGTGATGAAATGCTACGTGATCCAGGGCTGCTGAAGGCACAGTTCTGAGCGCAGATTTCAGGCAGATGACACAGTGTTTGGTCTAGCTGGGGCGGGGTGAAAGCCTGGTAGAATGTCTTGGATTCACTTTCATTAAAGAGTTGAAGCACAAAAGTATTCCTTCTCAAAATAATATAACAGCCTTGTTAGAAATTTGAGGAAGGAAATCCCACTCCATCTTCATAGCACTATCAGTTTGCATATTTGTTTGCCATCTAAATGCAGTAAAATTAATAACAGCTAAGCACTCACTGAGTACTTATGTGGCACCAAGCCACTGTGCACAGGCTTGACAAGTATTAACATAACTAATCCTTAAACAGTGCTAAAAACACAGTGAGAGCATCATCCTCACTGAATAGATGGGGAAAGGAAGACACTGGGTGGTTGCAACTTACCCAAGGCCCCACCCTAGCTGTGTGAACCTAGGCAGCCTGGCCCAGAAGATGTCTCTGCAGCCACGTGGGCCCGTGTGTCCCTCTGCCATGACGGAGCCAACTATTTTCCTAGCACTCTGTACAGCACTGCATTTTCACATTTAACACACTCGTCATTGGTTTAATCAGGGAACAGGTACTTCACTGTGTCATATTTGTGAGTGCTGTAACCACCACCACAAGCTTGGCAACCAGAAGTTGGAATCAGTCTTCCTGGGCTAGTCAAGCTGTCGGTGGAGCCAAGCCCTCTCTGAGGCTGGAGGAGAAATCCATTGTTTTGTCTTCTCCAGTCTAGAGCTGCATTCAGAGCTCCGGGCCCTGCCTCCGTCTTTGGAGCTGGCTGTGTGCCATCCTGTGTCAGGGCCCACACGGCCATCCCGAGACTCAGCCCTCTCTGTCTCGCTCTCTCAAGGACACTTGTGATGGCTCTTAGAGACCAACCAGATAATCCAGGTCCATACCCCCATCTCACCATCCTTCCCCTCATCACGTCTGCAGTCTCTCTTGCATTTTAAGGTGACAGCCATAGGTTCCAGGGATTAGGGCCTACATAAACTTGGGGTCATAATTTGCCCTGCCAAAGTGAAATTTGTCATTTTCTGCTTAGTTTAAGATTAGGAATGGTATGAGAATTAAATATTGTTAGCATGTTTATTGTTATAGGCCAATCTATAAACTAGAAAAAAAGGCTTTTGGTTTTTTTGGCCAGTCTCCCCATATCATACAACTCATCAGAAAGTGCTCAGCCTGACTCTGGCTAACTGGAGCTGCTACAGTGGTCCAGATTGGAAGGACCTTGATTATGATCCACACTCTTTTTTTTTTGAGATGGGATCTCGCTCTGTCACCCAGGCTGGAATGCAGTGGCGCGATCTTAGCTCATTGCACCTCCATGTCCGCCTCCTGGGTTCAGGTGATTCTCCTGCCTCAGCCTCCTAAGTAGCTGGGATTACAAGCATGCACCACCACGCCCAGCTAATCTTCATATTTTTAGTAGAGACGGGGTTTCACCATGTTGATCAGGCTTGTCTCAAACTCCTGACCTCGTGATCCACCCACCTCAGCCTCCCAAAGCTCTGGGATCACAGGCGTGAGCCTCCGCACCTGGCTGAGAGCACACTCTTGTCTGCCACCCTTGAGACCTTTCCTCAGGGCATGAGAACTGGAATAGGAGAGGGGACTCTTGGCCTTATTAGTAATAATAATGTATCACGTGATTTAATCTTCATGACAGCCTGCTGAACAAGGTTAATGACCTCGATTTTGTAGATAAAGATACTGAGGGTCATCGTGCTGGACTAGCCCTGTTAAGACCCTATGGCTGGTGAATGACAGAGCCAGCAGCAAAGCTAGGTCTTCACCCAGGGCAGCAGTATCTGTCCTGGATGTGCAGGTGCCCAGCGTGGACTTGGGGAAGGAGTGAGGATGTGCAGAACTTAGGCATGGAGGCTGTGAATGCACTTTCGTGTGTATCATGGTTTCTATTACAGAGGCAAGATTGGCACATTAAGGGGCTTTGGAAACTAGGCACCATGGGAGACAGGCCCGTCTTTGCAGTGCCTCCCTCCACCACCCACCATGGGTCCAGGAGCCCAGGCTTTCTGTTTGGACGTTTCCCCTTGATCCTGTGCGTGTCTCTTTCTCACATGCTGCAATCAGGGTTTACATCCATCTGGGTTCATGTCTGCCTGTGACATAGCCCCAGTGTGTCTGCAAGACCATACAAAGCCTCCCTGTGACTTAGCCATTCCTAATAGACAGTTAAGCCACTTCTGGCATCTCACCTGGGAGAATAAGTAATGCAGAGATTAATTTTTTTTCAGTTGCAGAAACCTTTTTCTGAATTTCTGTCATTGCCTTAGATTTATAAGAATGTAGCTAAAATGGGAGACAGCAGAGCAGAAGGTGACAAGGCTGAGTCCAGAAGTGAGACTGACTCGATTCTATAATGCTGTGTGATTTTGGGCAAAAGTCTGCCCCCTCTGATCCTGTTTCTTCATGTGTGAAGTTGGGGTAGCAGAACCCACCTGCAGGCTGGTAATATGAGGATTCATTGAAACCACTGAGTTAAAGCTCTTAGCCTAAATGGCTCAGGCTCGGGCACTCTAATTTGGCATTACTTGAATTTGCAATTACTGGCTTCGTGTGAAGACACTGAAGATTTCTGATGCATGGTACCTAATTGTTCAAATGACGTCTTTGAAGCATTGTGGATAATCTTTAGAACTGTGTGCATGAATATTATATAAAATGTAATCTTGTCAGAACATCGAATTGGCCAAATGACAAAAAAAAAAAAAAAAAATTAGTAATTTGGCCCTGGTATCTGCAAAAGTCTTAGGCCATGTTGCCTGGTGCGGTGGCTCACACCTGTAATCCCAGCACTTTGGGAGGCCGAGGTGGATGGATCACCTGAGGTCAGGAGTTCAAGGCCAGCCTGTCCAACATGATGAAACCCTATCTCTACTAAAAATACAAGAACTACCCAGGTGTGGTGGCGCATGCCTATAATCCCAGCTACTCAGGAGGCTGAGTCAGGAGAATCGCTTGAACCTGGGAGGCGGAGGTAGCAGTGAGCCGAGATCGCACCACTGCACTCCAGCCTGGGCAACAAGAGCAAAACTCTGTCTCAAAAAAAAAAAAAAAAAAAAGTCTTAGGCCATGTTGACTGCAATCTGAGCAAGGGCCTTCCTGCTTTCCATGCTGCAGAATTCGGGAGCTGGAGCTGTCAGAGAGGAAACTCCTCCGGAAGGTGGACCAGCTGAGTGCCCACGTGGCCCAGGAGAGAAGCGCCTGGCTCGAGGCCCAGGAGAAGCTGGCGGCACTGCAGGGGGAGCTGGCCGGCCGGGTACCGTTCCTTTCTCCTTTCCAGTCCCTTTTTCCTGTCCATCAGGGCCATGGGAACTCAGTAGCCGTGCAGTTGGGCGAAGACAGTATAGGGCGGGCCTGGAAGAGCCCAGGCAGGAGGGTTAGAGAGATCCTAAGTTCACGATGCATGCAGTGACTGCGGGGCCTGGGGTTTGCAGGAATGCGGGGGTGGGGGCTGTGACTGTGGAGGCTGCACACTTGCTGGAAGCTCTTGTGCCTGAGTATCCCAGCGCCAGACCACAGCCTGAGGACAGGAGTAGGCTGATGCAGGACTCCTGGCATCTGGAGCTCTTATGCAGATGGGGGAGACCGATCAGAAACAAATAACTCTAAACCTGGACGTGGGGTGCCGTGGGGGAGTGTGGGATCCCCCATGGCGCGTGTTCAAGGGGCTGGGGGATTTGAGGAGAGCTACAGCGAGCTGGAGCCATGTGAGCTGGGCCTTGCTGGGAAGGGCATGTGAGGCGTGGGTGACAGCATGGGCCGTAGCACAGAGGTGTGGGAGGACACAGAGGGTGTCACCATGCAAGGGACAGAGTGGGTGAGTGGGAAAGTTCCAGAGGGGCCAGGTGGCCAACTCCACTGCATGGCCCAATTGTGAAGACACTGGGGAACAAGCTTTAGGGGACTTAAGTTGGGAAGCCTCAGGGTCAGATGGTCATTTGGGGGATGCCACTCTCCCTGCATGGGAGAGAGAGATGGCAGAGGCAGGGGGAGACGTTCAAAAGCTTACTGGAGAAACAGCGGGCAGTTAACGGCGGGGGCTCTGGAGGCAGAAGCCTGGAGCCAAACCCTGGCTCTGCCACTCACTAGCTGTGTGACCTTGGGCAAGTGACTTAAACTCTCTGGGCCTCAGTTTCCTCATCTGTGAAGTGGGAATGATATCGTGTGGGCTGAGTTGATACATGTAAAACACTCACAACAGTAGGTATTTAAATGACACTATCTGCTTTTATAATTATTAACCATTACTGAAATTTTCCAGGGGGAGGATGATGGGGGCTGGAGAGCAAGCCGCTTTTAGGAAAGGCTGCAGAGGCAAAACCCACAAAACTCCAAGGTAGCTGCATGCGGTACCCAGCGGTCCCTGGAGGCAGCCTGTTTTAGTCTGCTGCTACTTAAAATGCAGCCAGAGATTTTCAAACTGCAGGTTGCAACCCACCTACGGGATGTGAGATTGATTCAGAGTCTCACAACCGGCACTTAAAAATCAAAACAGACTAAGAAATATAAAAGCACAGTGCCTGTGCTAGAGGGAGTGCTGTTTTGAGAAACTTGTTTCAACTGTACACAGGTGTGTGTATAGCGGGCGTGACGTTCAGGCTGTTTCATGCGTGTTTCTTATAGTGGGAAACTGTCAACAAAGCTGGGAAAGCACTTGACACACATCTTGGGTGAAATAGAAGTGACGTGGAATGATAAGGATTCCAATTAAATTGAAAATAGTCCCTGAATTGCTAGGGAGATGTCGGAGTGGAATTTTTCCCCCTCGATACTGAACTTCAGGTGCAGAAAATCAAGTTACTTCTCCTCCTTGGCTCATAGCACTCATCATTACCATCCTGAGGGGCGTTTTTAACTTCAGTATAGTGGCATTGTGTGGGACTCCACCGCCACTGATGTGATGTCTCTGTGGAAAATACTGTCATAGATGCTTTTGGAGCCATGCCTGTGTGCATGTAGGATTTCCGAGGTGAATGTGACCCAGCCCTGTCATGATGTTCACAGTGTGACGGGGGGTAAAGGATGAGGGTGACAGCAAGGGGCATGCTGTCAGGGAGTGAAAGCTACTGCAGGGACCAGCAGTTTCTGCAGGGGGGCACTAAGCCCTTTTCCAACAGTTCCTCTTGTTAAATGTCTCATGTGCTGTGTGTGCACCTGGGAAAGACCCGTCGCATAACCCCATTTCCAGATGGGCAGCAGATGTTCACAGTGATAGGGTCTCTCGGTTGCCACTTGGCCCGGCCACCACCCTGCCCCCAACCCTCTAACCCTAAATCTCTCGCTGCAAACATCCGTATTTTGAAGTGACTTTTGCAGGAGTGCATGAGGGAGTTTTCCATGCCCTTCGCACCTGTATGTACCAAATGGCAGCTTTGCTTTGTTGCTATCAATGTTTCCAGTAAGCGTTTGCACATGAAGATGCCTTGTTTCTGTAGTGACCTGCCATCATTCTAAAAGCTGCCAAAGGTAGACTTTCCAGGCTCTGAAAGTCCTCCACCAGGCACGGTGCAAAGCTCATCACAGAATTCATGCCTTCAGGAAGACCAGGAGAATTCTCCTCCCAGGGAATCTGACCCCAGCTTTTATCTGCCCCACGTTCCCCAGAACTATCAAACGAAGCCTGTCTGAGCTTTTCCCAGGTTTCCTCTTTCACGTCTGCTCTTAGCTTGTTTTTGTTTTCTGGAAGCTCCCTGGCAAAAGAGCAGCAGCAAGTGCTGGCAGTTGAAAGAAAGATTAATGTAGAGGCAGTTCTATCTGTTTGCTTGAATTAATTCTGAAAAGTAGCCAACGGCTCCAATTTTCGTAGTGAATGTTGCATCCCAGTCCAGCTCACAGCCCATGAGTGGGAGGAGGCAGATGTGTTCTCTGGCCAGGCAGGTGGCCAGATGAAAAAGAAAAGGGCTGAGTCAGATACAAGGTGTTCAGCATCTTGGCCGCAGTGAATTTTAGCTGCGTGATATGCAAGCCACTTCTGAGTGTCCCGCAGGCTAGTAATACTGCTTCCTCCAGGTGGAGTGTCCACCGTCATGACAGCTGCTGTGACACTGGTGTTGTGACCCTGGCTGGGCTAGGGATTGACCCTGTAGGTGTGAAATGAGGATCTCTGGGCAGTGCTGGGGTGGAAGTGGGACACTTGCGAGCAGCTGTGTGCACGCAGGTGTTGACATATTGAGTATCTGGACATCTCCAGTGGTCCTCAGGTGTGTGCTCGCTGATGGCCATCCTGCCGCCTGCACAGCTCCCTTCCAGAACTCAGGGAGCTCTTGAGGGTGCAGGGCCCAGACTGGGATGGATGAGGTGACGGAGACACTTAGCTCCCATGCGAAATTTAAGAGGCTGCCAAAACAGAGATAATACTTTGATGCACTATTTTAATGCACAAAATGCAAAAACGCACCAGGCACGAAATACGGAAATGTTAGGTCAAGACAGGATCAGTGTGAGCCGCGGTGTGTCCTTCGAGCTTGCTGACACCCTCATCCACCGCCAACTTGTAGGTCCGGGAGAAAGAGAGCTTGGCCAGGCGGCAGCGGTGGCGGCTGCGGCGGTTGCGGGAGCGGCTGCGGCGCAAGGACGAGGCACTGGGGCAGCAGGTGGCGGCCCTGGAGCGCTGCCGGCGGACCGAGCGGCGCCAGCTGGGCCTGGTGCGCGAGCAGGAGCGCGTTCTGCGGGCGCAGGTGCAGAGGCTGGAGCACGACGTGCGGCGCCTCTGCCGCGCCGCGGGCCTCCTGTTGGCCCAGTGGGACACAGCGGCCCCGGGCCCCCAGGGCGCCCTGGAGGCGGCTGCGGAGCTGCGCGCCCTGCAGGCGAGGGCCGAGCGCAGCGAGCGCGAGCGGGAGGAGGCGGCGCGCAGGCTGCGGGAGCAGCGAGCCACCGAGCGCCGGCTCCGCGGGCAGCTGGAGGAGCTGCGCTGCTGCATCTACGGACTGAAGCTGTCGGAGATTGGCCTGCAGGGCCAGGTGGAGGACCTCGCCCAGCAGAACCAGTGCCTGCGAGAGGAGTTGGGAGCCCAGGTCCCTGCTGGTCACTGCAGCCTGGTAAGTGGCCGGAACCCAGGGCAGGAGTGATCTTTTGCTTTTCTTGTTCTCCTCCAGCCACTTGGTCAAGTCATGCACCCATCCAACCCTGCCAGCCCTGTCCCTCGTCCTTCACTGCATCCACCCGCCTCCCCACCCACCCTCCCATCTAAACTCACACACTCATGCACTGCACCTCGCTACCCATTCACCAACCGTGTCCACCCACCTGCCCATCCTCGGATGCACCCACTTGCCCATCATCCACCATCCAACTATCCAACCACTAGCCCACCTACCCACCATCATTTTCCCATTCATCCTAACACCTGCTCGTCCACCCAGCCACCTATGAATCCACTTACTAAACCACCTGTTCAACTGTTTGGGTTTTTATAACAAATACCATAGATGGTGGCTGATAAACAACAGAAACTTATTTTTCACATTGGAGGCTGGAAGTCCAAGATCAAAGCACCAGCTCATTTGGTGTCTGGGGAAGGCCTGCTTCCTAGTTCACAGATGGTGCTTTCTCACCAGGTCCTCACAGGGCAGAAGGGAGAGGGAATTCTCTGGCGCACTAATCAGTAAGGGGGCTAATTGCATCCATGAAGCCTCCACTGTTACAACCTGATTACCTCCCAAAGACCCCACCGCCTGACACCCTCACACCAGGGATTCGAGTTTCAACATATATTTGGTAGAGGAAAGACAACCATTCAGACCCTAGCACTCGCCCACCCACTTGTCTACCCACGTTCCATCATCTCCTCACTCACCACCCCACCTGTTCATCTATCTACCTCACTGCCCACTGGCCAGGCCGCCAGCCAGCCACCTTGTATCCCTCACTGTCCACTCACTCTTGTCCATCCATCCGTCCACCAACCAATTCGTCCCTGATGAGTGCCAGGCCCTGCCATAGACAAGATCGTCAACGTGCTGTGCCATGGGACTCTTATGTGCTTGGGAAGTCCAGTCCCTCTCCTCTGGAAGCAGACACCACTTCTCCCACTTCACCTGTAGCACCAAAGGTGACAACGTTCCCTGGTGGCAGTTCTGTGCATGCATCTTCAGTTTTCCCTCTTTAGACTGTGAGCTCCTTGAGGGCAGGGTCCAGGTGTGATGGTCTCTGTGGCCTCAGTCCCCATAGCAGCCCCAGGAGGGCCCCAGGATGGTGGAGTAGAGAGCATGCAGGGTAGGGTCCCCTTCTGGTTTGCATACTTACTTGCTGTGTGACCTTGGGCAAGCTTCTTAAACCCTGGAGGGCAGGCTGGACATGTATTGATTCACTCGACTGAGCGGAGAGTAGAAGCTTGCATTTTGTGTATTCCTGCCGTGTGCTCGGCTCTGTACTGGGTGTTTGCAAAGACGTTATTTCATTTAATGCTTATGGCAGCAGGTGGCATTAGCATCTTCCTTTTGTGTTTGAAGAAGCTGAGGCTCAGAGGACAGCATATTTTAGCTGTTGTCACCCAGCTATTAAGGGACTGAACTGGAATGTGTTCAGAATTCGATGTGAGTGCAAACGTTATCGTCTCCGCTGTAGCAGCCTGCCTTCGGCAATGGAAACACTAACTCAGCTCCTGCAAAGAGGTCCAGAGCCGGTCTCTCCCCTGTGGCTCAATTTGCATTTAAGGAAAAATGAGTGAGCAACCTTAGTCCGAAGAGGATTGCTCATTTTTTTTGAAATAAAATTTATCTTCAAACCTGGACAATCCATTTAAAACTACCTGGAACCTTAAGTGGTCTGAATTTTCTCAGGATAGTGATGTGTGTCTTGTCCCAGTGAGCTTAGTAATGGCTTTATTCGTGGTCAGAGTTGACTTTTGTACTGTTTTATCCTCCTATTCTTGCTCTTGTACATTTCCTGTTTGTTCTTCTTCTTTATGTTCATCAGATAAAAGGAAAACAAAGTGTATAGCATTGGCATCTTGTTGTGATTTTGGAAAATAAATTGTGCATAGATGGAAATTGTCATTTAAAATTACTCTCTGTAATTTTCCTGCACTTAAGACTTTAGACTTTAAAGTCTTACTTTAAGTCCTCCCAATCTCTCCATTCATTCTATCTTCCTCTTGTAAAAGTCCCAGTGGCATAGGGAACTGCACCTTGCGTAGGGCTTGGCTTTCAAGGCTGCACTGGAGGCTCCTGTGCACAGTGACACTTCTCAGAAATAGCTGCCTGCTATTTCTTCAAGATGGTTATTTGGGAGAAAGCACAAGCACCTGTGCATTTAGGAGGTACCTGCTCATGTCTTGGCCACTCTGTCTTCTCATGTAATCTTTAGGGCAGCCTTGTGAGACAGGTGCTGTTTACCCACTGAACAGATGGAGAAGCTGAAACCCAGGGAGGTTAAGTGAGGTCACCACAGGCGCCAGCTGCTAAGTATCCCAGGAGCAAAAGGACATGGCCAGAGCCGAGCCATGACTCCTGCCTGCTGCCTGGAGGTCGAGGTCCTGGGGTCAGAGTTTGTTACTGAAGAGCTTGGGGCAGCAACAGTGGCTGGATTTAGTCGATTCTATGCCATCAGCCCACCGGCTCCTTGTCGGTGTGTGCCTGTGACCTTCTCAAGGTTTCATGCTTCCTCTGCTAAAAGTCCCAGTGGCCCAGGGGAACTGCACCTCACGAGGGGCTCAGCTTTCAAGCCCGCACTGTAGGCTGGCCTGCACAGTCACACTTTCCTTGAAAGCTCCCTAAACTGCCCATTATATGTGATCCCCAGCCATTTCTGCCTCAGCCTCTCATCGGCGGAGTAGCTGAGAAAACAGGGTTGCAGCTCAGGAATCTGTGCGGTGTAGAATGCTGAGCCTTCAACACTGGAGTGGAGCAAGATGCTCAGGCTCCGAGGTGCAGGTAGGAATGTGAGTGGAGATGATGGAGGATTCCAGCACAGCTCTGCCTCCTACCAGCTGAGACACCCCCAGGCATTCTCTGTGCCTTACTTTCCCAAGTGTGAAATGGGATTAATACTGGGACGGTGATAATAATAGTGCATCCTGGTGTGGGTATGAGGATGAAACGAGAAAGTGGAGGGAAAGCTCTTAGCTCAGTGCCAGTATATTTTGATGATCAATCTAATCTAGCTTCTGTCACTGTCAGCATTGTCACCACCATCACCATCACCACCATCACCATCACTATCGCCATCACATCATCACCATCACATCATCATCACCATCACCATCACATCATCACATCATCATCACCATCATCACCATCACCACCATCATCATCACCGTCACCACTATCATCACCATCACCATCACATCATCATCACCATCATCACCATCATCATCACCGTCACCACTATCATCACCATCACCATCACCATCACATCATCATCACCATCATCACCATCACCACCATCATCATCACCGTCACCACTATCATCACCATCACCATCACCATCACATCATCATCACCATCATCACCATTATCATCACCATCACATCATCCTGAACACCATCATCATCACCATCACCATCATCACCATCACCATCACCACTATCATCACCATCACCATCACATCATCACCATCATCACCACCATCATCACCATCATGATCATCATCACCAAGATCATCACCATCACATCATCCTGACCACCATCATCATTACCATCATCATCACCATCACCACCATCATCACCACCACCATCATTACCATCACATCATCATCATCACCATCACCATCATCACTATCATCACTAACACCATCACCATCATCATCACCATCACCATCACATCGTCACCATCACATCATTGTAACCGTCATCACCATCATCATTACAGTCAGCATCACCATCACATCATCATCACCATCATCATCATTACCGTCATCATCATCACTATTACCATCACCATCACCACCATCACCACTATCATCCCTATTACCATCACCATCACCATTGCCACCTTCCTCATCATCTCTTCTTGGGCTTGTGGTCATCTAGTAGGATGTTGGGTAAATCACCCTCACTACCTAAATTGTAATTTTCTTTCTCTTGGCTTCTTGTTTTCCCTGAGATTTATTTGTTTATCCTGGATTGGAGTAGGTTAGATGTGAGTGTGATTTGTCACCATTGAGCTGCTGGAATGGCTGAGGGGAGTACAGGCTGACAGGTCCTCGGGGTGGATGGGGCCTGTGGTCACCAGCTCCTGTGTCCCAGCAGCCTGTGGATGGGCTGGGAGGACTGAGAGAACTGCAGTGGCTTTGTGCGAAGGGCCATCTGGGGGCAGTTCTATGGGCTGAGGAACTGAGAACCTTCACCTAGGTCTGCTGCAGGGCAGAGCAGTTGGGTGAAGGCCCCTGGCTAGCAGAAGACCTGGGATGTGAGAGGGGGTCAAGGGAAAGGGGCTGACTTTCATCTTGGGAGCTGCCCACCTATTACTCACTTAATCCTCAAGCAACGCAGCCAGGTAGGTGTGTCCTCCTGTCTGCTTCACAGAGGAGGCAAAAGGCTCCTGCCCCGTGTCACACAACCAAGGAGCGAGGCCCCAGTGTAATTCCCGTTCCCTGCCTTTCCTTTCACATCCACCCAGCCTCCCAGGTTGGGAGTTTCCCAGAGGCAGCTTTGGCTGCTCATGCAGCTGAGAGCCGCTCTCCAAGAGTGGGGGATCGTTCCAGCAGTGACCCTGAGCCAGGCTGCCGGGGCTCTGAGCCACCTGGAGGGAGGAAGCACTGGGGCAGCAGAGCATTGCCTGAGTGGGCAGCAGGGGCCACAGCCAGTCACAGAGTGTGACAGCGGCAGACAAGGTGTGCCCACCTGGCTGGAGCTAGCTGCTGCAGGTAAGGGCCAGGTTACCCGGGGTATCCCCAGGGCTGCAGGGTACGTCCTCAGGGAACAGGCAAGGCACAGGGTGTTAGTTTTCTGGGGCTGCTGTAACAAAGCACCTCAAACCTGCTGGCTTAAAACTGCAGACATTTATTCTCTCCCAGGTCTGGAGGCCGCAAGTCGGAAATCAAGGTGGCAGCGGGGCCGTGCTTCCTCCTGAGGCTCTGGGGGACAGTCTGTTCCTT